CCTGACGAATGGTCCCCTACAAAAGGGTTCCTTATTAGCGGATCCCCGATTAGGGCTTCCTTGTTTAAGAAGGAATCCTGAACGGGGCCTGTGACTGATAATTCCTCACGAAGGATCCCATGTACAGAGGATTTCTTAGGAAGGATTTCTCGGCAACGATTCCGTAAGACGAATTTCCCACTAAGCGTGTCGCATTATTGTTTCCCCAATTCTCATTTGTTGTTTATCAGATCCTCGCTCAGACTCCTTTGTTGAGGTGCCTTTGTTATGCATTCAGCAGTAACTATTCTTTATCAAGGATCCCTTATCCAGGGATCCGCACTGAACGGCTACCCAGTAAGGGCTCGGTTTTACTAAGGAGTCCTTAATACACGTTTCTTAAGAATGGTTTCTCATTTGGGAGTCCCTACTAAGGACTCCTTACTGACGATTCCTTTCCAAGGATTCCTTACTAAGGAGTCGTCATTAAGGACGCCTGTTTCCCAGGAGCCCTCACTAAGGATTCGCCACAAAGGATTAGTTTGCAAGGAGTCGTTATCAACGGATCCTTTTCTAAGTGTTCCTTGAACCAGCTGGACTTCACCAGGGGGCCGAGGCTAAATACAATGATACAGCGGCATGCTATCGATGCACCGGCACGCGCACGAGGCTCACAACTCTTGCCACGTTTGACTATCTTTTCTGGAGTAGCTGGTAGACCATGTTGGGCCTAAAAGGATCTAAAAGGCAGCGCGTGCCAGCAGCGAATACAACAGCCCTGACGGTGAAAAGGCGGACTCGGCGGAGCAAGGAAAAAAGAGAAGAAGGAGGATAACCGAGCACACAGGGGATGACGACGAGGGGGCGTGGGATGATGAGGACGACGACGGCGAGAACGAGAAGGACGAGGAGGAAAAGAGGTGTGACATTGGATTGGATCGTGTCTGACACGGTGTCGGTAGGGGTCCCGAGGTCCAAGGCTCGGTGCAACGGCGTGTTTTGCGGCGCTTTCGAAGCACGCGCGCGGATACAACATACGTAAACGATTGTCTTGTTGTTCTTCGAATGCCGCCCTTGGTCCTAAATTCTTGCCATGCGTCACGCCTGGCAATCGTTTCTGGAAGGTTTCGTGCTTCTTTGTCATCCTCCTACTCCTCCTCCTCAACCTCCTCACCCTCGTCCTCCACGCTGCGCTGGAGATCCAAGAGCGCGCAAGTCTACGTGATGTCGCAACGTCTTGTGACCGCACAGATTCCGCACATATTTATGACCCCCAGCGAATCACGATGATTATGCAAATATGTGTGATCCTTTTGCGAGTCACAAATATTCAAAGATCACGAGCGCAGCCGTTCCACGCAATCGTTGTGATCAAGCACTTGGCCGTCACAAAGATTGCCGCGAAGTGCCGAACAGAGAATCTTTGAATAGTTGTGACCCCCTGCAAATCACAAAGATTATGCAAATCTGTGTGACCCCCTTCGAATCACAAGATTTCAACGATCCCCAGCGCAGCTACGAAGAATTACGCTGGGGATCTTCGAAGCGTTGTGAGCCTCGATGGGGCCGCAACTGGCTTGAGTAGTTGTGTGACCTTGATCTGCTTCAGCGCGCTGGTAACAAGGAAAGCCGTGGGTCCCCACCCAGTGTCCTTGTTGCCAACAGCACTAATACTATACAAGTGTAGCAGTCCCAGGTTTGGTGGGCTGCTGCATTTGTTGTTGCAGCACGGCGTTGCCCATGTAATTCTTGTGTTAATGGGGGAAAATCGCATACGGACCTTGGGCGTGGCAAAGAGGCAGGCACACACATGACGATTACGTTGTTTGGTACATTTGGGCCCCCAGGCGTCGTCGTCGTCGTCGTGATCATCATCCTCACCATGACCGTCGTCGCCATCGTCATCGTCGTGTTCATCGTCGTCGTCATCGTCATCAATACCGTCGTCGTCAGTATCATCGTCGCCGTCGTTGCGATTACCAGCATCAACCGTAAACATCGCAGCACATACCAGCAATGTTTATTGTGTGTGTTGTGTGGTTGTTGTTGCTGGTGTGTGATGTGCGATGTTTGTTGTTGATGCGTGATGCGTGATGGTTCTCAGCCCTGTGGTGTTGGGTCCACGGTTTGAAGAAACAGCGGTCCGTTGCCGCTTCTCTCTTTTTCCCGCTCCCTCATCGTATCGTGTTTTTGCGTGTGTTCCCCGCATGCCCCGACCACGATGGACAGTCGGAGTAAAAAAAACGATCCGATTGAACACATGTTTTGAAGCGGTGGAGTCACCAGTTTCTTGGTTTCGGCGGCTTCGGGCCCAGAAGGGGCTCAGAATAGATTTAACACCGCCAAGGGCCAGGGGCAGAAGCTTGCTTCGAGACGGACCTGCAGTCTGAGGTTGAAGGCCTGTCCCCGCACGCGGGAGGTCTTGCGGCTCCATCGCTTCGCCAGCCCCCGGGCCCACAGGCAGGAGCAGCAAAGGAGCGCGAGACCACGGGTTCGAACGGTTCAGAGGGGCACCAAGGGGGGCAGCACGGGGGGAGCCCAGGTGGTTCCAGTTGTTGCCACTTGTCGGCAAGGTGGCCTTTCGAAATCACATTGGAAAGTGGTCGAAATTGGCCCAAGTTGGCAAGTGGTTGGTTTAGTGAAGTTGACGAAGCGTTGCCCTTGCGAGCGACAATTAAGCCAAAGTGGTTCCAAGGTCTACCAAGTTGATCCCCGACTCCGCGTATCTCCCTCTGGAGGTCCACCCACTCGCCCACACACCCCCACCCCAAATTCACCTCTTCGCGAGGAAAGGTCAAAAGGGAAGGGGCTTCCTTCAGACTCGAGGACGACATGGCTCGAGTATGCTGCGGTTCGCAGTCCTGGAAAGTGGCCACGGGGACGGTGGAGGGCCTTCTGCGAGAGAAGCAAGTACAAACTTGCAGTGTCACAAACATCCCGTATGCTACCGATGATCCATTCGAATGGTGGGGTCGCGTGGTTGTGAGCGTGACATGTTGGCAGAATGACGGAGCCATCCGCGGACGAATACGACTGAGGTACAAAATCGAGGTCGGCTTGTGGAGGGTACCATAATGTTTGTCGTGTTTAGTAGATGTCATTGTGCATCCTGGGGAGGGTGTCCTTGGATGTTCTGTGTGTTTTGGCGGGCCTAGTGCCTAATGTTCTTGAAGGTTGTTTCTCTGTCCTAGGTCCGACCGTAGAGATAGAGAGAGAGAGAGAGAACGAAAGAAGAGGGAAGCTCGCGGGCTTGTCCTCTCCCCGAATTTCTCTTCTACCAACCCGGATCCCCCCCTCCGCTCCCCCTCCCAGTCGTTCGGCTCCTGAGTGAGCGGGATGATCTTTGAGGATCGATATTCCCAGAAAGCGGGTATTCAATGGCATTGCGGCTCAAGAGCACAGTCGTGGGGCCGAGGCGGCGCTGTGCGCAGGTCGGGCGTCACCTGATTGTGGGCTTATCCAATTGTGGGCTTTTCCTCCCCCCTCCTCGCCCTCCCCCATCGGAGGCTTGATGATGTCCACATCCGCCACCGAACCACGAGTTCTTGTGTAGAGGTGGTGGACAAACCACAGTTGTATTGGAGACGAAGTATGTCCACATGGTTGCAGCAAATCCCACCATCGTACCAGCGCAGTAGCGAGAGCGGGGGAGTTTCATGCCCGTTCGAGTTCAGTTCAGCGTTCTGCTTGAACCGGCGGTGGTCTTGACCCCCTCTCATTGTCTTAGGCATCGTTCTTATCTTCCGTCATCCTTCTCCCCATCATCTTCTTCCAACCTCCCGCCCTCAGAAGGCAGATCGGAGGCTTAGAGGGGTGTCACTTTGGAGCCCCATCGGGGGCCTGAAAGGAGACTCCTGCTTGGGGGTGCCGTTGAGCATCTTCTGGCCGTCTCAGGGCAGTCTCTGGCGCCAAGATTCAGCCGAGCTCTCACGAAGCGTCTCGGCTGCATCACACTGGCGCCTCGGAGCCCTGGAAGCATCGAATGCAGTGCGCACTCGAGCGAAACGCTTGTAAGGCGAGACGCAGGGACTTCAAACGCCACTTGATGGGAAGATTGGCGGATCGAGCGGTGATGTGTTAGACCCATTGTTCTGTTCGTCGGGGTTGCCAGTGTGACAACACGTACAGACGTGAGCGACCGACCGATTTTGAGTTTTCTTGAAGCGGTCTTGGGCCGTATCGGGGGCGGGGTCGCGCCGTCTTCGGGCTGTACTGGGACTCGCACGAGTCCTCTTGGGGGTCGACCTTCAGGGGCTCCCTGTGCCCCACGAAGCGTGGTTTCCCCCAGGGCATGTGTCTCGGTAGCAGAACACACATCTGAATGTCCGTTAGGTGTTCGCTGCTTCTGGCCCCGTCCCGCCACGCTGGATGCCTCATTTGGGCGCCCTTGCTCCTCATCCTCCCTCCCTTCCTCCCTTCCTCCTCGCAGGCCTCGTCCCAGCCCACAGCCGCCGCGCTCTTCGCATCCTGGGGGCGATCTGCCCCTCCCCCCTTTCTGAGGCATGGGGGAAGGGGGCATCTGGAAGGTTTTTTGCGGGGGGGTCGTCGTCGTACCGTCGTGGGCTGACCTTGGGCTACCTTGCAGTTGCCTTTGGGCGGCCGCTGATCGTGCAGGAGCTGTCTACAGGCTGAGAGGGGCGCCAAAAACAGTTCTAGGAGGGGCGATGCTAGCATGGCGATTGCTCCGGGGGTCCTGCAAAACTGCAGGAACCGTGTTGGACAATTGGTCCAGGGGAACCAGCTGCGTGCATAGTGGGGTGTGATTAGTAGGTCGGCCTCGCAAAATGATTGGATCCAGTTGCGTCTTGTCTGTCGCATCACATGTCCTCTTCACGCTTGGGGCCGCGGTGGCCCCCAGAGGGGAGCTGTGTCAACTCGGGCGTCGCTCATATCTTCGCCCCTTCGCCATCCCCCCAGCTCGTCCACCCCGACCCCCCCCCGTCCCCTCCTGATCAGAGCACTGCGCTTGTCCGCGGCCTTCCCTCCTGGGCTCCTGGGCAGACCGGCGGGCGGGCGCGCAGGCACCCCGCGCTGCGCTTCTCCGAGGCGCCTGGCCGCGCCACCCCGCGCGCTCGGCCCGCTCCCCGCTCGCGGGCTGCGCCGACGACGGCGGGGACGACGGAGGAGGCTCGATCGATCTTGGAGCCGCCTGGGGGGCCTGAGGTGGCCCAGCACTGGTTCCGGCCAGCAGGAGGGAGCGGGGGAAGGTTCGAGGTTCTGGGTTCGGGGAGGGGTGTCTTGACTCTCTCCGGGGGGCCGTTCTCGGGCCCCGGGACAGTCAAAAATGGATCCGGGGTGAAGGATTGCACAAGGTGGACGTCTTGGGCGCCGTTCTGGGGCTCTCTTGGGCCGTCTTGGGGGGCCTCTTGAGCCGTTTTGGACGTTGATGACACCAAAAAGGGGTGGGTGCTGAACATGCAAGCTTTCCATCGAAACTCTAGACGCTTCGGGTAATCCCACCAGCCCATCCAGAAACGATGCCCAGAGGAGTTGCCTCGATAAAAAAATATGGGAGTTCTAATTGAGACCCCCCTCGGGAGCCCCCACAATCGCCTCTTGGGCTCCTCTTGGGGCGCTCGTGGAGCGCTCTTGAGCGCTCTTGGGGTCTCTTTGGGCCCTCACGGGCCCTCTTCGAGCCATCTTGAGGCCCCGAAAGGCCATCGAAAGCAAAAATGCGGGACGGCAACATTCATTAAATCTTGGGAGCCATCTGGAGCCATCTTAGGCTATTTTGAACCATCTTGGAGGTCATCTTGGGCTGTCTGAGGCCCTCTTGGAACCATCTTGGGCCATATGGACGCTCCAACGCCTTGCGCTACACCCACCCGCCCACAAGCCGTCTGGCTCACTCCCACACGCCCTCCCTACACATAAGTAGCACCTGAGCCTGAGCATGTTCGGTCGACTTTGGATGGACAGCTACTGGGAACCAAAGCCGACCCCAGGTGCGGGACGTTTGGGCGAGGTGCGCCACGCGTGCCAGGGGCGCCACGCGCGCCAGGTACCCCTGCGGCCCGAGCGTGCCAGGCAAGCCTGGTGCGCCAGATGCGCCACGTGCTCCGAGTGCGCTAGGTGTGCCGCGCACTCCAGCCGCGCCAGGTGCGCCGCGCTCGGGGCACGTGCAGAGTGCGTCAGGTGCGCCTGCGCACGTGACAGCACACATCGGGAAACATGTCGGCCCCCGCCACCCTTGTCGAAAACCGATGCCCATCATTGTGTCCGTTGGGCCTGCGAACAGCCGACCACGCGCCACCACCCCGCCGTCCCTGTCACTTGACAGTGATCGCGGGATGGCCGCGCATGATCCAGATGTAGCCGCGAAGTGTATACTGTTTTGTTTTTTGTCACGGATGGTAGCACTGCGCGCAGCAGGGAATATGCTGACACCCTTTGCCGCCCTTGACCAAAAGAATAGGAAGTGTTCGCGGGCCTCACGAACATTATTCCAGATGTTGCCCCCAAAAGTGTCTTTTGCATTGGTTTTTGACAGGGATGGTGGGGGGGCGCATCGGGTTGGCCGCGCATGCTCCAGATGTGTAGGCAGAGAGCGGCTTGTACTGTTTTTCGACGGGGATTGTGGGGGACGGGTTGGCATGGTGTCGGCATCGTGTTTGGTTGGCCCCCGGTCGCCTTGGGGAGGGGATGTATCTGAATAAGGAACAGTGATCAAGACACCCCCTACATAGCAAGCCGTCTAGTTCACTCCCACCCGACCTCCCGACACAGAAATAACACCCGAGCCTCAGCATGTTCAGCGGTGCTCTTTGGATGGGATGGCCAGCTACATACTGGGAACCAAAACAAACCCCGTGTGCGCGACGTTGGGACGAGGTGCGCCACGCGTGCCTGGCGCGCCACAAGCGCGAGGTACCCCTGGGGCCAGACGTGCCAAGCACGCTTGGTGCGCCGGGTGCGCCACGTGCTCCGCGTGCGCCAGGCGCGCCGCATGCTCCAGCCGCGCCTGATGCGCCGCGTTCGGGGCCCGTGCAAATTGTGTCAGGTGCGTCAGTGCACGTGACAGCACACATCGGGAAACATGTCGGCCCCCACCATCCTTGTCGAAAAGCATTGCCCATCATTGTGTTTGGTGGGCCTGCGCACAGCAGGCCGTACGCCACCACCCTCGCCGTCCTTGTCAAAAGCCGGTTGACAGTGATCACGGGATGGCCGCGCATAACCAGATTTAGCCGCGAGGTGTATTTTGTGTTGTGTTTTTGTTGGGGGTAATAGCCCTGTGCACAGCAGACAATATGCTGACACCCCCGCCGACCTTCTCTAAAACAATACGAAGTGCTCGCGGGCCTCACGAACATGATTCAAGATTTTGCCCCAAACTGTACATTGTATCGTTTTTGACACGGATGACGGGGGGGTGCGCATCGGGTTGGCTGCGCATGCTCCAGATGTGGAGGCAGAGTGCGTGTTGTATTGTTCTTTGGACAGGGATGAAAGGGGGGGGGTCGCATGGATCTTGGTTGGCTGCTGGTCGCCGGGGAGGGGGTGTATACTAGTAGGGAACAGTGAGAAACTCCTCCACGAAGGGGAAGAAGGGGGTTGGAAAAGAAAGCTCCCCAGACAACCTACGCCCAGAAGCCTGGTGGGATTAGGGCGACTTGGGCCTTTTGGGGCCCTCTTGGGGGTCCTCTTGGCGTTTCTCTGAGGGCGTCTTGGAGGCTTCTGTTGTCTTTTTGAGGTTATGTTGGTTTACTTGGCACGTTGGAGCCCATATTGAGCAAGCTTAGGTGGAATCTTCAGGGGCGCAGGATGGGTTTCAAATCAATAAAACTTTCGGCCGGTCATTCTGGAATAACCGACCACGTTTCCACATTTTGGGATATTGAGCCTTGTCCCCTTTTCATCATTCCTGGGGGATAGCGAACCTTGGCTGATTGATTATTCACACGGAATAGTGAAACATGTTCCTCTACTACCTGATCCCGGGGACAAATTACTGTGTTTCACATTCTTCATGAATAATGGGCCCCTGCTCACTATTCCCGGGGAGTCGCGAAGTCTTGTCGGTTATTCCTTGGGAGTGGCAAACATGTGTCCGTCATTCCGAGGAGTAATAAGCCGTGGTTCATTTCTCCTTAGGAATAGCGGACCCCTGTCGGGGCTCCATTATTATCCGGGAACAAGGAACATTTGTCAATTTTTCCCGGGGAGTAGTAGACCTTGGCTCGTGATTCCCAAAGAATTACGAGACCTTGTCCACCAATTCCCAGGAAACAATGGACCCCTGCCCATGATTCCCAGGGATGAAACGAGCCCGTGTCCAGCATTCCGGAATGACATGTCTTAAATGACTCCCACGGAGTACCGGGCCCTTCTTCATAATTCGCCGGGAATCGTGGATTGGGATCAACGATTCCTTGGGGGCACCAGTCCTTTGTCCATTAGTCCATGTGAGTAGCAAAGCCTTTCTTCCAGTATTATCTTGGGAATGCTGGACCCCCATCACTCCCAAGGAGTAAGCGCCGTTCTCCTTGTTTCCCCCCTCCACAATTGGATTCTCACGTTTCTCCTTTTTTGGCCTTCCTAGCGCAGTCTCGACGTCACGGCTGGTTCCGCTTCGACGTTTTGCCCCCTTTCAGTTGCCGAGCCCGAATTCAGTAATCGAACCCGACTTCCTGGTTCAATCTAAACGAACCCCTATTCACTATTCTGGAATAGTAATGATTCTCTCCCCCGTTCCCAGCAACGATCAAACCCAATCCACGACTCAAGATTACCTAACGAACCCCGATTCCCGATTCTGGAAGACAGATTGTTGTCGTTCCCCTCCTGGCCAGGGAGCCAGGATTCAATTATCCCAGTGCGACCCTACCTAGGAGTTGGAGCCTCTAGGAAAGCATCATTAGTAGGAGCGGTAAAGGCCGTCCTTCTCTTTCTCCTCATCGTCGTAGCAGTAGCGGTAGTAGTAGTGGTAGTAGTAGTAGTAGTAGTAGTCGTAGTCGTAGTCGTAGTCGTAGTCGTAGTAGTAGTCGTAGTCGTAGTCGTAGTCGTAGTCGTAGTCGTAGTCGTAGTCGTAGTCGTAGTCGTAGTCGTAGTCGTAGTCGTAGTCGTAGTAGTAGTCGTAGTAGTAGTAGTAGTAGTAGTAGTAGTAGTAGTAGTAGTAGTAGTAGCAGTAGTAGTAGTAGTAGTAGCAGTAGCAGTAGCAGTAGCAGTAGTAGCAGTAGCAGTAGCAGTAGCAGCAGCAGCAGCAGCAGTAGCAGTAGTTAGTAGTAGTAGTAGTAGTAGTAGTAGTAGTAGTAGTTAGTAGTAGTAGTAGTAGTAGTAGTAGTAGTAGTAGTAGTAGTAGTAGTAGTAGTAGTAGTAGTAGTAGTAGTAGTAGTAGTAGTAGTAGTAGTAGTAGTAGTAGTAGTAGTAGTAGTAGTAGTAGTAGTAGTAGTAGTAGTAGTAGTAGTAGTAGTAGTAGTAGTAGTAGTAGTAGTAGTAGTAGTAGTAGTAGTAGTAGTAGTAGTAGTAGCGGTACGGCTAGTAGTAGTAGTAGTAGTAGTAGTAGTAGTAGTAGTAGTAGTAGCAGTAGTAGTAGTAGTATTAGTAATAGTAATAGTAGTAGTGGTAGTAGTAGTAGTAGTAGTAGCAGCCGCAGCAATAGTGGATGTTGTGTTGCGCTATGCTCTGCTATGCTATGCTATACTATGCTATTCGATGCTATGCTATTATATGATGCGCAATGCTATGCTAGGCTAGTTAGGCTATGCTATGCTATGCTATGCTGCGCTATGCTATGCTGGGCTATGCTATGCTATGCTATGCTATGCTTTTGCTTTGCCTTCGCTTTTGTCTTCACTGTTGCGTTTGCTTTTGCTTCTGCTTGGCACCCAGGGAGCGCAACTGAGGGAACCGCGCGTTTGCTTTTACCTTTGCTGTTGCTTTTGCTTGGCTTCCAGGGGACTGGGGGAACCGCCCGGGGCGATTTCCACTGCCTGGCCCCTTTTTAAGCCAACAGAGTAAGAAGCCTTCTAGGCAGAGCCTAGGTAGGGAATAATCAAACCCAATCCTCGATTCAAGAATGCCGAACCCCTTTATCCAGTATTTTGGAAGCAGAATGGTTGTCTCCCCCTCCTCCGGCCGGCGAGCCCGGTGTCAAGAACCCAAACCGAACCAATGTTCAAGAATAGCAAATGTTTGTCCGATATTCTGGAACTGGAATGATTGTGTCCACCCTCTCCGGCCAGCGAGCCTGCATCCAATAATCAAAACCGACCCACGACGCAAGATAAGTAAATTGTGTGATAGTTCTGGAATAACATTTCTCCCTTGTTCTGGCGAGTAGACCAACTGCAATGACGCATTCGGATTGATTATTCCAGCATATCCAACCGCAGTTGATAATTCAAGAATTATACAATCCTTTCGGGGTGCGTTGGCGAGTTCGCCCCCCTTCCGTTCCCCTTTGTCATCCCCCCGCCCCTTATTGTTAACGGATGTCAGACCCCAGGGGAGGGGGAAACGGAGAAAGGGGGAATGCCAGTTGTCCCACACGCATTTGCACCCCCGGCGAGCGGGTCTCGGAAGATTCCTTTATTATTCTTCCTCCTCTTCTTCCTCCTCCTTCTCCTCCTCCTCCTCTTCCTCCTCCTCCTCCTCCCCCTCCTCCCCCTCCCCCTCCTCCTCCTCCTCCTCCTCCTCCTCCTCCTCCTCCTCCTCCTCCTCCTCCTCCTCCTCCTCCTCCTCCTCCTCCTCCTCCTCCTGGCGGGCTCTCCGTCAGGAAGGTGCCTGCTCACCTGCCGCGGCGTGAGGTGGTCGACGCGACCAAGATCACCCACCGCGACTGGCTCGGCAACCGCTACGCTGACCAGGCCGCCAAGTCGGCGGACACGATGGTCGAGGGTGTCGGCATGTGGGTCGTTGCTGTCGTGCGCTCGTGGGCAGGGACACCCACAGGGTCGCCAAGGCCAATCGGCCTGCCCCTCGCGCTGCTGCCGCCGTGGCCCCAGTAGCGAAGCTGGCCTGTGACCTCCGTGGTCCTGAGGGCGAGCGCGGATGCAGCCGCTGCAGGTGGCTGCAGTGTGTGGGCGAGTGCCCCGGGTCGATCGCTGCGGCGGCGATCGGCCACAACGATGCGCCGAAGGAGGCTGGCAAGCGCGCGAACATGCTGGTCCAGATCACGCCCGTCCGCGACACGCCGACCTGGTGCGCGAGATGCCCGTGGTGGCGTGCGCAGCCTGTGGGGTAGTCGGCACGCAGCGGGCGTCCAGCTTGGCCTCCGACTTGGCGGGCCGCGATCGCGAGGCTCGGCAAGAAGGTCGCGCCCGTGCTCTCGCAGAAGGTCGCCGTCGACCTGGTGCCGCTGGGCTGACGGCTGAGCGCGGCGGCTTGGCCTCAGCGGACTCCCGCTGCAGCCGCCGCGCGCCCTGCACGCCGCGCACGCGGGCGTCTGCTGGCGCTGGCATGAGCGCCCGCTGCCGCGCGGGGTGCGCGTGGCTGGCGGGCGAGGGGGCCGCGCGGCAACCCGCGGTGCGTCACTCGCTTCTCCTCTTCCTCCTCCTCCTCCTCCTCCTCCTCCTCCTCCTCCTCCTCCTCCTCCTCCTCCTCCATCATTCCGCTTCATCACTCAGTCCTCATCCCTCATCGTCTTGAGGCCCCCCTCTCCTTTTCCCCGAGACGCCACTCGCACGGTACCAGGCAAGCAGGAGTTCCGAAGTTCCCGCGCCTTCTTCAGGGCAGGCCGGACCCGAGTAGTTGCAGGGCCGATCTTGGAGCACGCCGAGCTCTGCATCCGAATCCCAGGCTGCCCACAGTGCGTGCTGATGATGCTGTCAGCTGGTCTCCGAGGCTTCCGGCGGGGCCGGCCGAGCAATGTGCCGCCCAGGAGCCGCGCTCGAGGCATCGCTCCAGGGAGCCGCGCTCCGTCGCTCATGCCGCCAGTGTTGGGCGACGGATGAGCCCGACGGATGGGTCCAGAATCCATCCGGTTTTTCGGTTTTCCACAGGCCCTGGAGGAGTCCGAGCCCAGACGCGCTCGCCGACTCCCCGTGGATCCCGAGTCCCTAAGTTTTTCTTTCGGCTGTCCACTGGTCCCAATCTAGGCCTCTCAGATGGGGTCCGAGTATATGGGGTCGGAGGTTCGCGCCGCATCGCCGATGCATCGGCGATGCGGCTCGATGTGGAGTCCGAATTTCTCCACGCTGGAGTCGTCGATGCATCGCTCATCGCTCACGTCGCCGATGCATCGCCGGAGCATCGCTGGTGCATCGCGGATGCATCGCCGATGCATCGCCGATGTATCGGCAATGCGTCGCGATTTTCCGACCCGATCTGCTACGACCCCATCCTGGAGGCCTCTACCGAAGGAGTCCGAACCCAGACGCGCTCGCCGACTCCCCGTGGGCCCAGAGTCCCCGAGTTTTTCTTGGTTTCCCACGAGTCCCAAAGATTAGCCCGAGTCCACCAGGCACCAGGCCATCTTGGTGGGTCCAGTGCGGCCCATCTGGCGGGGGCCCCCAAGCAGTGTGATGACCACACCGCATGGTGAGTCAGCGGGGAGTCGGGCTCACCGCACGGTTTTGGGACTCGTGTCGTGCCCCGACGACGACGACGAGAAAGAGGAGAAGGAGGAGGCCCACCCACGAGCGAGCGCCCAGGCGCAGCCTGCACACGCCGACCCGTGGGCAGGAGGCCACGGCCGCGGGGCGGGCGGCCGGCCGGGAGTCGGCGACACGCATGCGGGCAGGATTCGAACGGTGGGTTGGCGTCGTGTCAATTGGCGGCGACCCCGCCGTTGGCGTTCGGCGTTGAACGCCGACGGCGACCCAGAATCGATCGATGCTGAACGATCTGCCTTTTCGGAAGCGGCCATCGTTCAAGGTTGAACGATCCCCGCGGTGTCAGAAGCCAACGCCGAAGTCTGTACGACACCAACTTGCCGTATCCATATCCACTGCGTCTTGGACTTTTTGGGAAGGGGCGCCAAAAGGCCGAGGCACAGTGGATATGGATAGAAATCTGGTGGTCTCTAGGGGCAGATATATTCCCCAATCAGAGCTGCCTCTGTAGGGGTCCTAGCGGATTCATATAATTAGGTGAGGTTTGGCGTCGATTTCGTCGGCGCGCCCGGGTGCTCGGGTGATCGGGTGCCCGGGTGCCATGCCTGGGCGCCCAGGTGCCCAGTAGCCCTATAGCCCTATAGCCTTATAGCTTTATAGCCTTATAGCCCTATAGCCCTATAGGTCCCTATAGCCCCATAGCACGCGCTCCGAGGCCAGGAGCAAACGGAGGACGAGGCCCCGTTGCCTCAGGGGAGATGGCTGCCACAGATGACGGGCAGTCGCCCAGCTGGGTGAGGGCCCGGCACATGAACGAGCTGCGCGAGGAAAACATGCCGCAGCCTGGGCAGGTTTTGCTTCTCCCCGTGCGCGACGAGGTGGGGGCACACGGGCACGTGCTGGCGGTTGTGGAGTCTGTGGGCCCGCTGGACCTGGAGGGTGCCGAGATCGACCTTACCGTTATTTTTTGCGTCTGATGGCTACTATTGGTGGTGGATTGGGACCCAGGCGGCTTCGCGGGCACGAGGTCGTCCACATCGACGAGTTCAGAGTGGTGGGGCGCAGGCAGGCGGAGGTTTTGCACGCACGCTAGGTAGGTAGGAATCCCGACTTGCTGCGTGTGGTGGCTCCGCTGGCGGCGGCCGCTGCTGCTGACGAGCCTCGCGGTCAAGCTGAAGAAGGTGTGCTGGTGGGTGATTCGGAGGACGAGGCCAAGCCCGCTGGGGCCGATCCGGGAGGCGACCTGGATGGGCTGTTTGCACGACGGCTTCGCGGCCTACGAGCAGCTCGGGGGCGCAGTGGCGGCGATTCTGCCGCGGGCAGGGATGCCTCGCGGCGAGGAGCCGCCGCCCAGGGGAAAGCTCGAGGACATGCTGCAACCTGGGGGGGTGACGCCGGCGGAGCAGAAGAGGAAGAGGGGGGCCTCCCCCGACGATGCGGATCACGAGGAGGGCAAGGCTCTGGTGGGCATCCTGGCGCGCGCGCTCCGTAAGGTGTCCCAAGGCGGCTCTGGCGGCGACGACGACTTCGAGAGCGACGACGGCGTTGGAGGAAGTGCATATATGCCCTCGTCGTGGTCGGGGAGGGGCACTGCCCTAAAGCGGCTCGCCCAGGCCACGTCTGGGAAGATTATATACGGGGCGGGAGCGCGCGTATATGCTGGAGCATTTTGACGAAGACGACGTGAACTTCCAAAACTGGCCCCAAGGCCGTGGCATTGAAGTTCCTGCAGAGGGTCTTCATGAAGAGTAAGATGATCTCCGAAGTCGGCGAGGGCAGGCACCGGGATAGGCGGACTATCGCAACTTCTCTGGATTTGCTCATGTCGGGGAAGGCCTTGGAGGCATGCGACATGTTGACGAGTCGCTTGAAGTCCTTGCGCAAGGAGGTCAAGGACTGGAGCATTCTCGTTTCGAAGTGGTTCGAGCATCTGCCAGTCGACCTGGACGGCTCCTCGCTGAGCACCCGCGACGAGGAGTCCGCGACCTCCGTCGCCGCCGGCGAAGCGAGATGAAAGCGCTCTTCAGGAAGATCGGCGGCTCGGGGTAGCGGCTCGGCCGGGGGAGCGGATGGCGCGGCCGCCCCCCTGCAGGCCACCGATCGCTGGAAGGCGGGCTGAGCGCAGCGCCCGAGTCGGCAGCGGGGGCCGAATTCCGCCGTCGAGGCGCGCAGGGGGCGCCCCTGACCTCGCCGCCCGGGGCGCCCCTTGCCTTGCTGGGCGCACCGGCCAACGATCGCCGCAATGGCGCCCATTCACAGGCGAGGGCGAACGCTCCGAATGCGATTGGCGCGGGCGAGCTCGGCCAGGAGGCGGGAGCCCCCGCTGCGCCCTTCGCCATGGCCAAGGCCCGGGCGCCGCGTCGAGCTGCGGGGGGCGCGGGAAGCTCGGCGAGACCAGGCGCGAACTTTCGTCTCCAAGATGGGGGCGCCGAAAGGGGGATCGCCGAGCAGGCGCGGCTCGGGCGGCCCAATTTGAAGATGTGATTGGGGGGCCATCCCCCCTGCTGCAATGGCAGGAACCCCCGCGCAGCTGCCGCCCGTGCTCAGGGGCCGTGCCGACCACCGTCTGCGACACAGGCCTGGCCCTGCTCGCGGGTTCGAGGGGGCCCCGGGGCCGCCTCGGCAAGTTTTTCCGAGAATTCAACTCGCGCGGGGCGCCGTCCGAGGCCAGGGCGAGGACGGCCAGAGATATCTGGCGGCTTCCCGCTTACCATCCGGCCCAGCTTTTGGGGGGTGTCGAACGTCTACGCGCGGCGGGCGCGCCTATCCCGCGCGAGTGCGCCGAGGAGGTCTGGGTATAATTCGCCACAAGGGGGCTGATTTATTTGCATTGCGGCGCGCCGGAGGCCTCGGCCTGGGCTCGCCCGGCGAAGCCCGCGCAGGGGCAGGCGGCCGCCATCGAGAGCGCCACGGCGGCCACCACTTGGATTTTCAGCCGGCCCCCCCCTGAAGGCGCCCCCGGGGTTCGGGGGCGCGCGCGCGGGGAGCTCCGGTTTGATCATTGGTCGGGGCGGGCCGGCGCCCAGACGCCGCGCGCCTTGAACTTGGCCCAGATTCACGACGGCTTACCCGATAAGCAGTCCGTCGGCCCCCGCCAGCCCTTGGATTCCCGCGACGACGACGCGCAGGAATGGCGACGGCGGCCGGAGCTCTGCTTCCACCCAGAGGATCAGTGGCCCAGCGACCCTCGCAGGGCGCAGGTGCACGCTGCCAGCGACCAGGAGCATTTCCGAGTCGTCCGCTTCCTCTTCGGAATCGGCATGGTCAATTTGATCGACGAGAGCGCCATCTCCCGCGACCGTGGAAGGAAGCTCGGGGCGGGGAGGTCCGGCGCGCCTATGGCTGGCGCAGCGCCCGATGGATTCTCCACAGCCTTTCGCCTCGTCGTCAAGTTGGCCCCGATCAACAGCTACCTCCGCCAGATTTACCAGGGCGCGGGCGCTCTTCTAGCTAGCCCGCAATGGGCGAAAACCGCCCTGGACGAGAGCGATAACATCTCGCGGACTTCGCGCGACCAGTAGGGGGCCTTTTTCGCGCGGGCGCTGCCCGAAGAGCGGGCGCCATGCGCGGCCCTCGCCAGGCCAGCGCCTGCGCGGGAGCTGGGGATCGATAGAGGCGGCAACGCATGGGTCACTCACGCCACTCTGCCCATGGGCCGGCTGCTGTCCGCCGCCCGCTTCCAGCGCGCGCATCGAAAGATTGCGCGCGCTAAGAGCAGGCCGGGTGCGCCGCTGCCTGGGGGCAGTGAGCGGCGAAAACGCCGTCTGCCCCCTTCTGGGGTCGCATGCGACAGGCGAGCGGTGCCGGCGCCAGATCGCCAGCCTGGCTCGGCGGCCATGCCTTGGTGGCAAGTCTACCTTGACGACTTCGGTTAGACGGAGGTCGCGCTTTCAGGGAGCTCGCGGGCCCTCGAGGGCAGCACCAGCGACTGGGCGACCATCATGGGCGAGGCCTACCGCGAGCAGGGCATCCCCATCAACGAGGCCAAGAAGGTGGACCGGGCTGCCGCGGCCGCCCAGATGGGGGCCCTGGTAGACGGCACTGCGGGGGGAGTCCAGAATGCCATGGCAAAAACGATGAGGTTGCCGACGCATGCTCTGTTTTCGTTCGGGGAGGCGGATTTGCTTCCCATGGGCTTGGCGAGCGCCGCTGGCCCGCTCGCGAGGGAGTTCGAGTTCCGGGGGCCTCTCTTTTCCGCGCTGGACGCCGCGTGGGCCGCGGGCCTGCAGAGGCAACTTTTTTTTTTTAAAAAAAAAATATATATATATATATATATATAATATATATATATATATATATATATATATATATATATATATGGGCGCAGCCGGCGAAGTGATGGCAGCGTTGTTGTTCTTGCCGCTTGCGTCGACGACCCTCCGAGCGAAGGTGGGCTCGAACCCTGTCTGTTGGCGCGCTCGCGGTGGCCCGGCGCGATCGACCGGGGCGACATTGCCGCCGTGGGCGATGCGGAGGTCGGCGCGTTGGCTAGGCGCTACGACCTGGAGGTGGACGTCGTGCTCTTCGGCCCAGGCCTCCGCCCTTGCAGGGCCGCTCCGACGCGAGAGCCAGCGCCGCGGGCAACGGGGCCGGGAGCTGCAGTTTGGCGCGCGAGGTGCTCCGCGCCCGGGCGTTGCTGACCCGTTACTTTTCCAAGCCCGTGCATTGGCTCGTGGAAAACGTCGCTTCCTTGGCGCCTGGCAGCCGGGGGGCCGCCTCAAATCTTCTAGGGGCAGAGCCTGTCTTAGATTGGCAGGGGCCTTGTCGCGCGGGGCCCTCGACCAAGAGCGCACTGGCTGCAGCGGAACATCCTGCCAGACAGGGGCCACGACATTCCGAACATGGGGGGCTGTCTCAAAGCGGTCACCGCGGAGGCTCGAGGATCAGACCCCGCCGCGGCGGGGCCGCAGACCCACCGAAATAAGTCGCCAACCGTTGCGGAGCGAGCAGTGCTACTAGGGTTCCCTTAGGAACTACGCTTCCGCGGCCGCGAAGGGCTCGAGCGCTGGCGAGGGCGAGCGGGCCCTGCGCAGCCTGCTCGAGGGCTGTTTCAGCCGCTGCGTTGCGGGCCGGCTCGTGCAGCATTGCCTGCGGCAAGAAAGATTTCTTCCTGCTCCTATTCCCGCGAGTGAA